GTTTTCTCCAGTCTAATCAAAGGAAAGATGTACTGACTTTATGTAATTATAGCATGCACACATAAAAAATGCAGTCAAGCAGAATTATGGTAGCGTTAACAGGAAAAGGCTGGCGAGAAATGTGATAGCAGCTGAGGCGCGATTACACACTGCAGTGCATTGTGCTGTATTTTGAGCGTGTGATTACACTTGCAGTCATACCTCAGCAAAAAAAAAAGAAAAAGCTTTAGAACTGCTGGTGATTTTATCGCTTGGAGTGTAGAGCTGAGAAGCTGAGTGACAGCTCTCGCTTTAGATGAGATGAAGGGAACACAATGAAGAGGAACAGAAGTGATTTCATGTGACAGATGCGGATGGAAATCACTTTCTGTTTCATGGCTGCGCGCTCCTCTCTCAATTCACAATGAGCGACACAGAGTGAGAGGGCTGTGGTGACAGACAGGGCTGTTTTATTGGAAGGGTGTGGATGTAAGATTTGACTCGGATAGCAAAATGATCAAAAAGGATGCAGAGGCATTGGAGTTTAGAAATGAAATGAGTTTATTAATGGCAAAACTGGTCATCAACCGCCATGCTTCAGAATCTGAAATGATACACAGTATGTGTAATTGGTCATTTAGGTGTTGTTATTGTTATATATGGATGCTTTGCTTTGCTGGGTGGTCAGATACAAGGAATATTTTGTCTTTGATTTTTTTTCTATTACACTATTAAAAATGCAAATTAATGTATATATAACATACATTTACATATTCTATTAATAGGTTTTTCTTATCTATCTATCTATGGGGATAAATTGTCAGATGAAAAAAAATACAAGTGAATGATAAATGTCACAATGAAGAACTATGTATTTTATATCTATCTGTGTGCATGTGTGTGTAGATAGACAGATATAGATAAAGATATTTGAAGTGTTTGAAGTTTGATATGTATAGATAACCCTATATTGCCCATTATTACAAGGCTAATTTGTAGCAGCGTCCATGAAAAACTATCAAAGAAAAACAAAGCATCTGCCTTATCGTTTTATTTACCCATGAAGTATGTACCTGTTTGGCTGCACTTACCCCTGTGATTACGGCTGAAGATCCGTGGGACACCAACAACAGCGAGAAGAGCAGTAAGAAGAAAGACCTCATGATGAAGCGATGTCTTTGTGTTCCTGTGCCCGCCAGGGTTACAAGTAAGGATGCTGAGGCTGATGGACCTTCCTGCATGTGCATCCGTCACAGACTGCAAAGCCAAGTGGCCTCCAAATTCGTGTGTTGAGGGCTGGCATTGGTTTATAAACCCAGCCCGCCATTCAGAAACTCCGTGACTCACTCACACAGCACTGCCTTGGAGGACTTTTTTTTTAAAGAAAGAAAGAAAGAAAGAAAGAAAGATAAATTGTCCAAGAATGTCCCTTCCTTTATTTGTTCTGACGGTGCTCTGTGCCTGCATTATTATTTCACATTCTCATAGCAAAAGTGAAGGTTATGTTGCCTTCCTACATGCTAAAGCTGGGCAGAAATCAATACAAAACCGTAGTAGCATTGTTGTAGTTTTGTGTCACGTTCTTCACAATTTTCCTTTTCAGATTGCAAGGCCACAGTTATGAAATGTCCTTTTCAACCAACTCGCAACGCAGTTCACAATAAAAGCCACCGTCGTTCATGGACGAGAATTTTTGAGATACTGAAATAAAAAATCTCTGGAGTTGTACAGTTTGCAGATTATTTTAAACTGCGATTTCTATTACAGAAGTAATACAAGGATAACAGGTGTCATTAAAATGTATTAAGTACTTGTATTCCAGTAGTTCAGCTTGATGCGAACATCAACCTGACCAATCCCACAACGTCTGTGTGGTTTAAATAATGTGAAATTTAAAAAATGAGATGAGAAAAGTCCTCTGCGTCTATAACTGAAAAAGTTTTAATTCTTTGTGTTGTTTTCGGGACAAATTAAGACACATGGCGACAAAACAACACCTTGTGTTCTGAAAACCTGTTAACTTCTGACTTTATGATCTTGTAGACTGCAACACAACAGCCACTCAGACAGTTAATAAATAACTGAAATACGCTTTGACTGAAGTGCTTCATAATAGCACTTAATCTTTTGGCAGCTATATTCACTTCATAATTATTTAATCAGTTTGTATTGTTAAGACATTTGAAAAAGCTGATTATTGGCTAAAGTAAATTTTGAAGGCTGATGTGGAGCAGCATTTCAAACAAGTGCAGATGGACCGGGCAGGCACCCTGTGGAGGCCTTGGTTTAGTGTACGGAAGAAACGACTGTGTGCAATCGCCTGAAGTCACCGGAGCACAGGAACCCGACTGACATGGCCAATCAACGCTCGGCGAGCTAAATCTGTCTTCATCACAGCTCTGCAGACTGACACTGATGACTGACTCACACTGGTAGACATGCAACGAAGTGCCAGAAATCTATTGTTCCTGTTACAATCATTGCAATGAACAATTCAAATCCCATTAAGTCAGATTAGTTTTATAGCATAAAAAACAACAGTTCCCATCCATCCATCTGTCCAGCCATTCATACATACACACATCCGGACTTACAGCAAACTTAGCATCACCAATCAATCTTTATACAAGTCTTTAGATTGTTGGAGAAACCAGAAGTAGTTAGACAGAACCAACACAGGAATATGCAGCCATGCTGACAGGCTGTGGGCCCAAATGGATAAAATTAATAAATATGAAGAAATACTGGAGACTAAAAAGTCTTTTATACCCAAAACTACTCCGTCTGAGTGAAGTGTGTTACAGCAAAGTTAGGAGGACAGCTTTCTGTTATCTCCGACAGCACTGGGATTGTCATTCATCTGCATTTTTGTTTTTTTTCCCCAGACTTACACAGAAAGCCACAAGTATAGAGTCTTATTCTTCAGAGAAATCAAAACTCCACAGTTCGTTATTCTTAAACATTCAAGTTCGAATGACAATTTAATGCACCCATTAGTTGACATGCATATTTTAAAACCTTGAAAATACACCTTATTTGCTCCGATCGCTTTCATAGATAAATGCCTGGCTGGAGGCTTTTGCTCCTCAAAAAGGAAATAAAATACCAGAAAGTGCGAACATGAAGAACAGAGCAGTTAAAGGTCACAACTATTTATGCTCTCATAGCTGCAGAATAGCAGCATTTTCTGCTTTGGAAAGTTGTTTTTTTCTTCATTCAGTTTTCGTACATATTGTTCTGAAAGAAAAGGAAAAGTTGAATACACAAGAGGGGCCAAGGGCAAAAGAGGAATAAAATCCATTTATCTGGTCTCGATATTATGGAATGATTTGATCTATCTTTTAATTTTATTTATTTATTCATTCATTAATCTGCTTGGTCTCATATGCTTCTGATCATTCCAAGTAATTCAAGTATGATCCCCTAAAATAGCATCAATTTAAGTGGCAACTAACATAACCATAATCATAAAGGTTGCCTTGCTACCACATCCTTCCTGAATATCTTTGCAAACTCACACCACTGAAGTACGTCATGCAAAGACGGCGTCCTGGATGAAATCAGTGCTTGTATCTTTGGTTAAAAGTGTAGCAAGACACGAGCATTTGGCAGCCTGACAGGCAGGCTCGACATCTTCAGCTCCTCATCGTGTCAGCAGAGATTATTGACTGTTGGGGCCAAACCCCCACTCCTTATTGCGGCGTCTGTTTTTACACTAATGGTTATGATCTAATGAAGAAGGAGAGCCATGACGGAGCGCTTACATCCTTGATAAAAAACAGTTGCCTTGGCAGCTATCCCACAGCAGAGAGCTGTGGGATAAATCATGAAAACCGTGACGTTCTCAAGTGGAAATGCACAGACATGTTGGATATTGCGTGCTGCAGAACAGCTAGAGCCGTTGTTGTTGCTGCTGATTTCTGTCACCCTCTAACTCTGTTTGTTATCTCCAATCTCCCTACATACATAGACATGCAGAAAGGACACATGCCATAAGATTATGGGGTTTATGCGAACACCCGAGTCCTTCTGCCAGAGCATGCTATCAGAGGATCAGTACTTTGGATGACATAATGTTACTGCTGTTATTTCTCCATGCTCGCAGCACGCCTCTCCTCTTATTTTACAACACGCACGTGACAGAATCCCTCAATCACACATAATCTGATGGGGATTTTTTCACCAGATTACACGATCCTTTTGTTCGGGGATTCATGTTGGGCGAATGTGAGTGGGACAGTCCCACTGAACAGATTAGGCAGGAGTATCAGATCATTCTCCTCTGACTTCTGGCATCGAACAGGTATTTTCTGCTCAAAGAACTGCCGCTTACAGGATAGATTCTCCTTTTCCGATCATTCTCTGCAAAATGTAGAGATGGTTTTGAGGTATGACCCCAGCAGATCAGCAGATTCTGAAATATTCAGCCCAGCCTGTCAGGCATGAACTGGTATGCCACATTCAAAGTCATTCAGATCTCCTCTTTTGCCTATTCTGATGCTCAGTTTGAATCTTGACCATGTCCATTACGGGGCGATCGTGGCTCAAGAGTTGGCAGTTCGTCTTGTAATCAGAAGGTTGTAATTGGAAGGTTGCCGGTTCGAGCCCCGGCTCCGACAGTCTTGATCGTTGTGTCCTTGGGCAAGTCACTTCACCCGTTGCCTACTGGTGGTGGTCAGAGGGCCCAGTGGTGCCAGTGTCCGGCAGCCTCGCCTCTGTCAGTGCGCCCCAGGGTGGCTGTGGCTACAATGTAGCTGCCATCACCAGTGTGTGAATGTGTGGATGACTGGATGTGTAAAGCGCTATACAAATACAGGCCATTTACCATGTCTAGGTGCCTAAAAGCTGATTCGATATTAGTGTTAATAAGCAGGTCAACTACTATATATATATATATATATATATATATATATAAACCAAATTAACACTTTTATCGTCATCATCATTTCACAATTGGGCAAAGCAGCTCAGCAGCTCACCTTGATCCCACACATTCTTTCATGCAGTAGTAAACTGACAGAGCGTAGAATTTATCCTTGGCCATCAAAATAACAGCAAAGAATTGAGCATACAAAAACTGAAGGGCATGCGCGCAGCTGCAGACAGTGTGTCGTGGAAAATTGCTCTGAATCACTCTATCAAGGTAGTGAAGTTCAAGTTTATACTTTGTTCGCTTCTAAACGAAATGATGGAAAAACATTTTGGAACCTCTTCATTTGCTTCTGACCTTCTCTAATTAAAATAGATGTGAGGCAAGAATGTCACCATATAAAAGACAAAGCCCTTCTGTTGGATTTCATTTCTTGTTTTTGAGTAACTGGTCCATTCCTCTTAGACACATGGGGTCCAGAATACATTCAAAAACATGTTCATTTCTCATGAAAAAATAAATAAAAGGACAAATAAATAAAACACTGTTGCTTTCCATTGTCGCTCAAGGTTAAAATAAATCTATTCTCAGGGATGTGGTTGCGTTTTCCTCCCACTAAAAGGTACCCGGCTCACACCTCAAACCTTTGTGGCAGTCTAATATGATAGAAGTTCAAGCAGTTTTGGGCGAATGCAACATGTAGCAGGAGATAGTTGACTTCAATTGCATTCTCGCTATTGGCCTGGTATACCATCAATAAGGCAGTAGCGTTTTTCCCTGTTGTGTTTTCTTTGTATTTCTCTGTGCTGGTCTTAGACTTAGACTTAGTTCCTCCTACGCCAGGCGGCGCATCGGGCAGCTAGTGATCTCCATCGATGTCGGTCAGCAGCGACTGCTTCAGCTTCGTCCCAGGCATTGTCGACAGTTCTCAGATCGTCCATGAATGTTCGACGCCATGTGGTCTTTGGTCGGCCTTGCTTTCGCTTGCCAGTGTGTGGACGCCATGTCATGGCAATCTTAGTTGGGCGATGAGGGGGTAGGCGTAAAATATGGCCCGCAAAGCGGAAGCGCCTTTCTGCAACAACATCGGCTAATGGGCGGGTGCCTGCTCTTCGTAGGACCTCCTCATTTGTTATTCGGTCCCGGTAGGAAATTCTCAGGATTCGCCGCAGGCCACGTTGTTGAAGCACGTTCAGGTGTTGAATAATTGCACTTGTTGAGCGCCAGGTTTCACTAGCGTAAAGTGCAGTAGGGAAGACGATAGAGTTCAGTAGTCTGATCTTGACCCTTACATTCAGGGAGGTCGAGTTCCAAATAGGTTGGAGACGTCGCAGGACACCAACTGCCTTCCCTACTCTGGCGTCGACATCCCGATCAGAGACCCCGTCATTCGAGATGATGCTGCCAAGATATGTAAAATTCTCCACCTCTTCAGCACGTTGTTGGTTGA